GCGGGGGGGCGGGGGGGGCGCAGGTGGCCAGTGAGGGTCCAAGACCCCCAGGCAGACTCGCCTTCCACCCCAACCCCCACTCCTGCCGGGCCACAGCCTGTGCCGTCCCCAAGTCTGGGCCAGGATGGTGGCCCAGTCTGCCCTCTCCTCTATGGCCCTGAATTCCCCAAACTGGAGGAGTCACCTATGGCGTGGTGTGGACTCCGCCTTCTTCCCAGTCATGTCGCCCTCAAACTCGCCAGCGCAGGGTCACCATCAGCGGCCTGGGCTGGGCTCTGGGGACTCGGACCTACCTCCGCCCAGAGGGCAGCTGGAGATCGAGCCCAGGCAAGGGAGCCCTGCACGGCCAGGGCGGACTGCGGGGCTGAGAGCTGCCCGGCAGAAGCGCTAAGGGAAGTCCGTGGCCATCCTCTGTCCCTTGTCTGGGAGGCATGTGGGCCAGTGCTGGCCTGTTCCCCTCACAAGCCCCGAGGCCTCTATCTGGAGGGCAGACTTAGGCTTCTCCACTCGCCCCACCCCTCCCAGGGAGCCTGCCAACCCCATCTTGGGAGGGGTCAGCTCCAACCCTTTGCCATGTTGAGTCTCCCCTTGGATGCCGAGGGGAGTGACTCCCCACGTGAGGAAGGTAAGGCTGCCTGGGGAATGACTGCCCCTGGCTACCTTCCTCCCCTTCCCACCCTGCCCGGGCTTTGGGTCACCTCTCCCAGGGCAGCCTGATGCCACCTGTGGGCAGGCATCTGCCGGCAAGCTGGTGTCTACAGCTCAGAGCCCGTGTCTCCTCCCAGGAGGCTTAGCTCTGTCTGCAGAGTGAATGCAGCCCGCACGCGGTCCTTCCTGCTGTCCGCCCGCTGTCCCCGAAACCGTGGTTCTCCGAGCTGTATGGACAGCTGGGCGATGGGCTGCTGACCTCACACAGGTCACACGGGTCACACGTGTCACCATGTTTTCTGTGTTTCCCGAAGGGCATGCGTATCTGGGCATGGAGAGGCGGGGCTAAGCAGAGGCTGGGATGGGGGTTAGAGGCAGGGGAAGAGGTGGCTGCTGGGGCCCAGCTGGCTGCTGGCAGGGCTCCACCCCTTCTGGGTCCTGTGCACACTCCACGTGCCTGTGGGTGAGAGCACGTGGCAGGGTGTGTGCACACGTGTGTGTGTGTGTGTGTGTGTGTGTGTGTGTGCGTGCGCGCTCTTCTGTTGTTGACGGAGAAGGCAACGGCACTGTGTGTGCAGTGGTGCCCGGGGGCACGTGTGTCTGCATTCTGTGTGCACTCAGGCGTGCTCGCTCACGTGTGCGCATGGAGGCGGTAGCTAGTCCCTGGAGCCATGGGTCCCTGGAGCCACGGGTCCCTGGGGACTCTGGTCCCCTTCCTGTATGACACAGGCCTCAGGACTGTGGAGACTGAATCAGGGTGTGGGGACAGGAAATGGGAAGAGACCGGACCATGGCTGGCGGTGGGCAGGGCTGTGTAACCCTATGCTATTGGCTGTTTCTAGTCTCTACACTTAGAGCAGCCCCTCACTCTCAGGTGTGTGTGTGTGTGTGCACGTGCCTGTGTGTTTGTGGCGGGAGATGAAGCCCGGTCTTTGTCTTTTGTGCAGCGAGCAACCTAAAGACAGAGCCCAGGTTGGGCTGGGCCATAGCCCATCCCGCCAGCCTACAGCCAGAGCAGCTCAGGCAGAGGGGGGCTTCCTCGTCTTGGCTCAGTCTCAAGCTGCCCTCCGGGGAGGAAGTAGCCACACCAGCTCCACGCCATCCCTTCAACTCTCCCAGACCACGGGCTCGGGGGACAGGTCCATTTCTACTCCCCCTTTCAGAGCCAGACGAGGTCAGGAGCCGTGGCTTCTAGCCACCACCCTGGCCAGAGGGACGGCGGGAGGCCCCAGCGCAGGGCAGAGTTTGGGACAAGAGCAGGGGCAATTGGCATTGGCATTGCCCAGTAGCCCCTGTGAGACCTCCTGGGGAGGCGGGAGCTGCCTGGGCTGGGGGGCCAAAGGGGAGAAGGGAGCCCAAAGTTGACCATTCTGGCTCCCACTCGGGCTGGGCAGTCAGAGAGGCAGGATGAGGTGCGAGCCTCCATATCCACAGAACCTACAAAACAGGCCCGAGTGCCATCCACAGCTCAGGTGTGCCCCCCACCCCACCCCGGAGCCAGCCTTATCTGCCCCCTCACCCGCACTTCCTGTCCCAGGACACCAAAGGCCAGCACTCCCATACCCCTGCCAATCAGCACTGAGCCCCAGCCAAGTTCCAAGGATAGGAGATCACTCACTCCCAGGCCAGCTCCCCCAAGAAGCCCACACCCTGACAGGCACTGTCCCTGGGGGGCAAGCCATGCTCCCGGTCGGTCCCCAGCCACCGTGGGACTACGTGGCTGCCGTCTATGTTGCCGGCCTCAGCCCCCTGAATAGAGCCCAGGATGGGGGAGGGCAAATAGTCTTTTCCTCTGGAGCTAGGGGAGGGGGCTGCCCCCACCATGACTCACTCCAGGCTGTGTGGGTTATTACATTATGTTTGAAATTGCCATGGCAACCAGCTGGCAATCAAGGGTAATTGCACTTGTCGCCAGGGCAACGGGGCAAAACCCACAGCAGCCACTCTCTGTGTTTGCCCTTGGGGTGCAATAAAGGTCAGGTTAGACCAGAGCCAATGCCGAGGGGCTCGGGGGCTCTAGGAGGGAGAGACTGCCGGGACCTGGGGAGTTGCAGTGCTCGGAGGCGGGTGTGACTCAGGTGTGCCAGGGGCCCCAGCCCCGAACCCCTGCCGGAACCCCATCCTCTCCACACCTCCCTGGGCCGAAAGCACGCCACAGCACTCAAAGCCCACAGAACCAGAACTTTATGTGCTCATAGATGGTACTTGTAGATGGCCCACGGGCCCTCCTCCTCGTACTCCCGGCGGCTGAGCCACAGGCTCTGGAAGGAATCCCTGGATGCCATGATGGAGCCTCCCAGCCAGGCGGCCACGGCGCGGTGCGGGGAGCCCAGCACGGTGGCACGAGGGCCCAGCTCCTGTGGTACATGGTGGTTCCACCAGACAGCACCGTGTTGGCGTACAGGTCCTTACGGATGTCGACGTCACACTTCATGATGGAGTTAAAGGTAGTTTCATGGATGCCACAGGATTCCATGCCCAGGAAGGAGGGCTGGAAGAGGGCCTCGGGGCAGCGGAAGCGCTCGGAGCCCAGGGTGATGACCTGCTGGTCCGGAAGCAGGAAGCTCACCCGGGACTGGGCCTGCGCGCGGGCCATCTCGGCTTTCACATCCAGAGCGACGTAGCAGCAGGTCTCTTTCAGGCGGTCGACCAGCCCTGCCTTGGGCGGCGCGTGGCCACTGGCCAGCAGCAGCTCGGCCAGGTACTCCGTGAGGTCAGCCCCGGCCACATCCAGCCTGTAGGTGTCCAGTGGGGCCAGATCCCCGGTGAGGATGGGCGCCACGTAGGAGGTGCCGTGGCCGCTGCCCAGCACCAGCCCGGTGGTGCGCCCGTAAGCATAGAGTGCCAGCAGGGCCTGGTGCACCGTCTGCATGGCCGGCACGTGGAAGCACTCAAAGAGGATTTCGGCCACCTTCTCGCGGTTGGTGCGCGGGGAGATGGGCGAGTCGGCCACCAGGACGGCCAGCTCCTCGGGCCGCCTGCCCAGCTTGCAGTAGAACAGGTGCTGCCACAGCCCCTCCAGGGCGTCCCAGTCGGAGACCACTCCCCGGTTCAGCAC